TCGGTACAATACACTGAATACAGAATACACTGAATGTACACAAAAAATAAGGATAGTCATACCAGCCAATCACTGGGCAGCATTGTCTCTGGCCAGTAACAACCTTGCACATAAATAAAACCTTGGCCTAGCAACAACACATACCCACAACGCGTGACGTTACTGACTCAGTGTACGATATGCGTTATGTAAGAAGTGAAACAAGCTAAAGCATGGGGGGGGGGGGTCAGCATGCAGCGGTGGGCCGGACAATCTGACGTCGCGTATTTTGGTGACCCTTGCTCTAGGCCAAGAAAAGCTTATTTTAAAATTTTTGTAGTCTCGAATGTCATTGTTAGCGCTATCACTACAATTAACAACGTCTCGATTATCCATTTTTGCGTTTAATCATCAACGGACGTTGAACAGCAGACCGGATTCAAATCCAATGAAAATCGAAGAGATAAGATAGCATCGAGAGTCAATTATGGTCTTTTCATGTTAATAAATGTCTAATTAATAGTTTTTATAACATTTCAGGCCTAAATAAAGGCCTATACGCAGATTTAGCTCTTGCATAATGCATGTTTAAGAAACTTCCGCATTATAAAATAAAATGTTACAAATGGTATTTTAAAATACAAATCGCGAAAATCAATGTATATCATTTCACAGGGCTAAGCTCAAACTAGGCGTGCTAAGATTGGACATAATCATTGAGAAGCCTTGTAAATACCAGCCAAGCGCTAAGAAAATTACAAGATCAAAAACAATCGGACACCTACGGTTCCTGATCTAACTACAGATGATGATATAAAGACTAGAAGATAGCGTCTGCTTATAATTGGTGATATCTTTAGATGTACAATGTCTATATAGACATTGGTGACTTTATGGGTGATTACTTTACCCTCAATGTCGATGAAGAAGAACTAATTCTTTATTCAATACTCGTCCACTGAGTCTGTATATACAGCGTCTGATTCCTATTGACGATCATGACCTACAACTGTGGGATGGGGCTTTACTTTAGAATGTTAGCGCATGGTTAGACTGCCCCCAGACTTAAGCCTATGTAAATATTAAATAAAGATATGGTCTTGTCTGATATTACAAGCATCCAGCTTGTCTGAATAACAACAATTTTGGTTTTCACCCATATGATGGTTTGCCGTCACGACAATTTCTCATTGAGTTTGCTTCTCGAGGCGTAAGGTCACAGTTGTGAATAGTGCAGCCTAGTATTGAAAATATCTGTAGTTTGGTTCATCTATGTCTGGAAACAAACTAATTCATGGTTTGTATTTCTGTGAATTTATGGTTCTGTGTAATATAATATTCAACAGTCAATTTATAGTTTATCAGACAGTTTTTAAATATGAAATTTAGGAATATGAAGCATTCATTTAAAGATACATTAAGGGAGATTAGATAAAGATCTGACAGTTCTCACTAGAATAGTTAAAAACTAGATAATGTAAAGGGTATATACTGAAAGTTTCAGTCAAATTGCTTCACTCTAAGCCGAGACAACCTTATTTTAAAATCTCGATTGTCATTATTAGTGCTGTCACGATAATTAACAAAGTCCCGATTATCCATTTTTGCGTTTGATCATCAACGGACGTTGAACAGCAGATTGGATTCAAATCCAATGAAAATCGGACAGATAAGATAGCCTAAAGAAAGACCCGCAATAGACAGAATCAGCTCTATCATAATGTATGTTTAAAGGCGCATTTCCAGTTTGCAAACTCAAAATTTTATTAATGGCCGACATTGATTTTATCTATTGGTTTAAAGCCCAAATGCGCAAGAAGGCCAATTAAACAACATTATACAAGAGCTAAATCTACAGATTGCAAGCCTTAAATCATGTTATATAAAGTATTAATTAGACGTTATTTAATTTACCAAGATCATAATCAACCCTCGATACCATCGGATAGCTCTGATATTAAATCCATATGATTCAATTTTATTTCAATAATTTGCTTAGCAGTGGGAGCCACGATGGCTAAGTGGGTAGGACGCTGGCTCGCTAGCCTGGAGATCGGGGGTTCGATCCCTGCATTGGCCGAGAAAGTTCATCCAGATTTTCCGGCGTGGTTCTCCCTTGTCAGTGATGCAGGACGGAAGGCCTGACAAGGACAGTTGTCTAGTCGTTCGGATGGGACGACAAACTGTGTGGCGTATGCCCGTCTTCATTAGTCCAGTTCGGAGCAGAACAGTAGGACGTTAAACCCCATTTCATTTCATTTCTTTAGCAGTGGAAGGAACGCGGAGGTTGCATTTACACCTTATAGTTTCAGTCTCAATTCTATCATAGAAGTTATAGATGAACCTTACTAATAACTTTACAAAAACACCATATATGTAGTTTCAGTCTCAATGCTGTCATAGAAGTTATAGATGAACCTTACTAATAACTTAACAAAAACACCATATGTAGTTTCAGTCTCAATTCTATCATAGAAGTTATAGATGAACCTTACTAATAACTTACCACCCACCCATACATCTATGGAATGTTTATTGTTCATCTGTCGGTTGTATAATGGTAGTTTTGTGAATACTCTAATGAGAAGAATAATGATAATTACATTAGTTTGTGAATATCGTTACTCTATAGGGAATTAGACGATAATCATATTAGTTTACAGGGGAGGAAATTACACCCTGGATACAGATTACTAAAGCTGGGTGGCAACCAGGGCCTTATGAGGAAACCTATTATCCGCCAGGAAAAGACGTTTTGTTGGTTGTTTAGTGCGTATACTCTTCTGCAGATCAACTACATCTTAAAGTTGCAATTGCAAATTTTCAAGTTATATTTTTAAAATGTATTAAAATAAAGCCTTAAAATAGATGGTACCCATAAACAGTCCTACCTTGTTAAAGAATAATCCTATTAATCCTATAATTCGCTATTGCCAGCTGAGAAATTGACAAAAATATCATTTTTAACTTCAAATTTCAACGTTGGAAAATGGCTGCCCTATGTTGTCAATAGCAAAACAGGGGAGGTAATTGTGTTGTTATTTCCTGTGTCATAGATTTTTAAGGGTGGGAAATAATGCCCATGATCGTATAATAGTGACTTGACAACCTATTGAGCAAAAGAAATAGAAATAATTATGTTTTGACTTTCTTAGAAAATTTGAAATTCTCGCTTTAATGTAGTTCAAATGGAAGATATTAGTTCAGGATGCATTAGATAACAGCGTGGTTTCGATTCCCCGTTTGTACGTGACAAGGAGTAGGGTAGCCTGTCCAACATCGTGGGTTATCTCCGGTTTCCTAGTTTCCTCCCACTGCTAAAGATCCCTACGCGCAAGCGAATTATTGTTATAAAATTGATCCATTTGTTAGTCCCGAAGTGACCTAGTCTGTATTGAGTGGACGTTAATCTCTCTCTCTCTCTCTCTCTCTGTCTATCACCTCTCTCATCCCTCTCTCTCTCGCCATCGCTACAGTTGGTGAAGTAATGTTCATTTCCTCGTGTGGAAGTTCTATATAGTCTTCACTTTTGCCCTTTATAGTTTGTTTCCTCCTACTGTTCGTGCCTCTAAACGTGACGACATAAAATTAATATCCAGTTTTCATTTCCCACTTAAATTGATTCCAAAAATAGCCTTTCGTAGTTCCGGTAATGGCGGAAGGTGAAGCCATTGTAATAAGACACTATCCTATCACCGTGTTCCGTTAAAATTGTACCAGGCCGTTGTAAAGATCGACTTTGTATGTATAATTACACGCGCTTAATAAAAAGCTAACAAATTGTGTATTCAATGCAATATGCACTTTGCAAACTAGATTCCATTAAAGATAAATCGCTACGGGAGACATTTCCAGTTTTTGATTGGTTTAGATTTCAGTTCCGTTGACATTTTCGATTTTTTTGTTATGATCGCTAGCAGCATTGTTTGCATGGCAGCTTATGTCATTAAATTAACAACAAGCTATAAAGCAATTTTCGTATTTTAAATTGGGATCGTGTGAAGCGGTCATATCGACAGTAAAAGGTGTTTTAATGATAAGGTAAATTATGTCGATAATAAAGTAGTAATTATGTCGTAATAGAGATTTGTTACATGTATTACCTGTGTTACCTATGTCACGGGGTTAATTAATATGTATTATGTAAGTTGTTCTTGCTATATTAGTCCAAATTGCAATTAAATTAGTGGAATGAAATGAAACGAAATGGGGTTTAGCGTCCTACTGTTCTGTCCACGATAATAAACGAAATCATGATTTTCAGTCCTTCAATCGACAGTCTCCGTGAGTGCCGTCCATATTAAAGTTTAACGAAGATATGGCAGGCATTGTTTAATCTGGTTAAAATACAGATCTATATTTCGTTTCGATTGTAGTAAAAGGTCGCGTCAGAGGTCGCACGAACGGCTTTTGACCCTATGACGTCAGACATGGATTAATCAATCAGCGATGACGTTTCTAGTGGTTTACCCACAGTTCCGTGTATTGAACGCCAAGAAACCGGCGTAAGAGATAGTTTCATTGGCTAATCCCTCACGCAATCCAGACGCAGGTTATATAACAACTCTACCAGATCTTAGTGTACTACAGACAAGTAAAACGAAATTTTGAACTATAAAAAAACGAAACGAAATAGGATCTGTGTTTTAATCATATTGGGCATTATCCATTTAATATCTTAGCGGACTCGAAACCACGCCAGTTGGTTCAGTGACAGACCTTATGATGCAGCGCGCACGAGTTAACCATTCGGCCATCCAACCCCGCCTCATGGTTTATATAACATTTGAAGTCAGTAAAAAGACAAATTTAGCTCTAGCATAATGTATTTTTAAGATTGAAAAAAAAAATCATTTAATACAAACGTCAGCTGTAGACTAGACTATACAGGAAAACTGGCACCGTAAAGACAGATATATACAAATATATCAGGAGTTCATATGAGTTTTGTAATAAACTGAAATGCATAACATGATGTGAAAACTTGCCGGAGTATTATTTGTTAAATAATTCGTTCTTACCTGATATACCTTCATACGACCACCAATCTGCCCATAAACCATAATTACCTGTAATATATAAATAAATATATTCACTACATCACCTATTGTTTATATAAATTGACGCAGGTTGACATGGCAATCAAGCCCCATACTATGTTCATCATCCCCGAGGGGGCCTCATAGGTGTGTGGGCTTCATATACGAGGCTGAATCACTTTCTCGGACTGTTGTCCATACTCTGTTCTTCTAAACCCCATGGGGCAGTCGTGGGTTTGATACACGAGGCAAAGGATGCCTACTCTTTTCTAGAACCCTCGATACTTTCCAATAGGGGACTCACGGTGGCTAAGTGGGTAAGACGCTGGCTCGTTAGCCTGGAGATCGAGAAAGTTCATCGTTATTTTCCGACGTGGTTTGCCGTTGTCAGTGGTGCAGGACGGAGGGCCTGACAAGGACAGATGTCTAGTCGTTCGGATGGGACGAAAAACCGAGGTCCCGTGTACACATAGGCATGCGCGTAAAAGATCCCTTGGCTGTTGGAATTCGATATAAAAGTAGGCCGTAGTGTAGCTGTCCGGGCTAAATTTCCCTCATAGCGCACTGTATGGCGTATGCCCGTCTTCATTCTAAAGCCGAGTCGGAACAGAACAGTAGGATGTTAAATCCCATTTCATTTCTTTCCATTAGTAACGTCCATCAACTTGGTACGTTCCATTGCTAAAGTTTAAACATTATACGACTAATTTTTCATTCTGTTTTTTATGGACCTTTGTTTGCCGTTTAGATCGATGGTGCTATAATTTACCGATATTAGTATTATTGTAAATATGGTAGTCTTGTGATAATACAAGATATATAACCAGAAACAAAAAAAGACAGCTACCATTTTATTAGCTCATAAAAAAGACATGTTGATTGTCACAACGTCAATTGTTTTGTTGTTAATATGTAAAAAACAAGTGCAATAACCTGTATAGGATATGTCAGTTATAAAAGATTGTGAAAATAAATTGCCAGTGAAAGTGTGAGAACCAAGTATCATGTTTTCATCTTACTGATGCCAAATCCATTTGTTTAATAAAACACGTAGATTCTGCCATCATCAATAGCTAAACACATTGTAAGGGAAATGGATGGGGTTATAGAAAAAAAATGAAAAAAAATGTATTAACAATTATGCCGAGCGCGGATAATATCTTCAAATCGCAATGAATTGTGACATTTGTAAATTCATGTTCTTATATCCAGACGTTAAACGCCGACGATAGTTAAACATACATTATGCAAGAGCTAAATCTGCCTACTGCATGTCTCTATTTAGGCCTGAAATGTTTTCTAAATTATTAATTATAGCGCTTCATTACACGTGAAGTGTTTCTAAGCGCATATCACAAACATATACTTCAAACACACAGAAACAATCAAAATCAGGAGAACATAATTAAACACAGCTGCCTGTTAAGCGCTATTATTCAAAGGTTTATATCCAACAAATCAACCGGCTAATCTCTATATTGAACTCAGTCGAGGTATTACCTGATGAACACCTACACCAAGTAGAGTTCAAAAATAATGGCGTTAAGAAGCATATATAACAGGTCTGACTATTCTTATCCGTGCACTGCAAACCAGTGAGGTATATAAATCGAACAATAATTAATTAACTGACCCAGACCATATTCAACTCTCGATAACATTAATAGCCTGCGATATTTTTTAAAAATAATTAAATCGATAAATGGATAATCGAGACCTTTTTTTTTTATCGTACCGACTTTAGAAATGTGGATCGAGGCTAGCCTAAAATTCAAAATCTAATATTTCGGTTAGAGTGGAGCAATTTGACTGAAATTTTTAAAATATTCTATGTACATTATCTATTATTTTTAACTATTATAGCGAGAACAGTCAACTCTGTATCTAATCTCCCATAATGACCCTTTAAGCTAGTTTAACCACTTACTTTGTAGTCTGGAGTAAATAAACCAGCTTAAAACATTTCTAAATTGGCTGATCTTTGCCGTCTGGATAGATCGACTTAAAATTACGGCTTCGAGTATAACTTTTAAGCGTGTCAGGATCGGTTCCGAGAACGGGTTTCTGTGCAAGCGCATTAACTTTGATTCAAGATAAGCATCACGAGGCTCAAACAGTATTTATTTCTTCGTCATTTCTTTCGTAATTCTTATGTTAGGTGATGTGTATTTCTTATGTTAGGTGATGTGTAATTCTTATGTTTATGTTAGGTGATGTGTAATTCTTATGTTAGGTGATGTGTAATTTGATGTGTAATTCTTATGTTAGGTGATGTGTAATTCTTATGTTAGGTGATGTGTAATTCTTATGTTAGGTGATGTGTATTTCGGTACTTTTTGGAGTAAGTTCCTGAAACAACGACTGCGAGTTTTACAACATCTTGCCGTTGCTAGATTAGTCTGTAATTCCCAAACTTTTAGGTACATTATCTCCCTTTATTATAGACACGCGATACAAACAAATAAAGAAATAGCTTCGTTTACAGTCGTTGAAAGCTTTCTTTTTAGTTGAAAACCTTACGGAAGATCAAGAAAAGCAGCCTTACTAGCATAATGGAAGAACAAAAAGCAAATAAAAAAGGTTTAGACTAAAATGTGAAGTGGGTTCTACAACCTTGACGTTGAACGAACCTTTAACTCGGTTATCACAGCTAGACATTTCAGTTGGAAAGCCCGCGACTTGGTATTCGCGATGATATTTTCTATCGGGGAATCTGAGATGTCCCTAGCTGGGAAAGTAACCAATTAGTGACGAAAAAGTAAGGGTATAACGTGAAGGGATAAGATGTACGGGGTTAAAGCGTGACCATTGTCTGCGATATCACCTCGGTGGAAGCGGACGTAAAATACAACTAACTCACACATACAAAACGTGACCAAGCCGTCTATTGGAGATGCAATAACCTTGGCTGTCAGGGAGAACACTAGATCGGAGACGGTCCTGCACATATGACGTCATATGTGAATTGAGCGTTAGGTTTAAGAATTTGGGGGAGAGGTTAAGTCTTCACATAAGCACTGACCTAGGATGATGAAAAATGAGTTCGTGATATTTCCTAGTTTTATTAAAAATACATACATACATTGGATTTATATACAAAATTGTGCGTTAGGGTTAGTGCTAATAGTGCTAGCTCTGTTTTAATCTCGAGACTTCGATGAAATATGTAGGTCCTAACCCTTACCCTAATCCTAACCCACAATCCAGATATGATGTCATATGTGCTAAATGTGGAGGACTGTCTTCGATCTAGCGTTCTCCTACACTGAACAGAACAACAGAGTGCATGAACAGTAAATCACAGCTCAGAGAACTTTTGTTCTGAGCTATTTTCAACAGACGACCTTGCATGAATATTTAAGACAATTGAAAAGTCTATATCAATCTGTGATCGAATCGACGCATCTAAACAGAACGTAATGGTATAGTGATAAATTGAAGATAGGACGCTCTCTTTATATACTACTTATAGCCTCTACAGTAAATTAATTACATACGGACGGCTGTCTTCACCACAAATCTCTTCCAAACATGCTTCGTATCACACTGACAGCTAGTGGCGCCAATTGAATTCGCGCTTTGACACGTCGCGAGAGAGTCGGGTATTTTAACCGATTTGGCCGACTCGTGCAAACTGCGAACGACATTAAAATCTGATGATAATCACAGACAAATGCTTTTAGCGTCCAAGGTAAGAAGAGAGATGGAAACAAAACCAAAATCTAAATCTATAATTGGATTTGAATGCAAGCGACGTAGAAGGCCATTGGGTGGATGACATAATCTGGCTTGCCGAGGCTAGATTGCCAATAACATTATGTACCTAATACCCCTGTCAGACCGGGGTGGCGTCCTTACTGCGACGCTACGGCGATGGAAACGGCCCAGAGCGCGTAAAGATCGTTGAGATCGCGTCGTGTTTACGTTTGCCGGCGACCCTGTGCATTTTCTGGTCGCTGTACGGTCGCAACAGCACAGTAAGGACGTCACCCCGGTCTGACGGGGACACAATCTAATTAAAACACAGATCCTATTTCGTTTCATTTTTTATATTTAAAAATTTCGTTTGGGTGGCGTGAGGTATTAGCCAATGAAACCATCTGTTACGGCGACTCCTTGGCTTTGTCATGCACGGAACTGTGGGTAAACCACTAGAAACGTCAACGCTGATTGATTAACCAATATCTGACGTCATAGGGCCAAAAGTTGCTCGTACAACCCCTGACGCGACCTTTCTGTAAAACTGGTCAGATCTTCATGTAGTGTAGGCCATCGATAGTATAAAAAAACGAAACGAAATATAGATGTGTATTTTAATCCGATTGACGGAGACATAATGAAAAGACCACTACGGTGGTATGTAAACTGTTTCAATGGCATTTAGTAATTGAACTAGAGTAAACAGGTCACAATTCTATGGAATACAATTACTGCTTTTTACTGAGCGACGTTTCGACTAGTCTTCTCTAGTCATTATCAAGCTATGATAAAAAATGAAAATATGACAGGACAATATATACATGTACACAAGAATGCTTAGTCGAAACGTCGCTCAGTAAAAAGCAGTAATTGTATTCCATCTAGGTTCCCACTATCACGATTGGCGCTATGATTGAATTCGTGGTTTTAATCGTGGAGTAATCGTGGAGATCCTATCTGGTCTTATCATAATATATTGGGGTCAGTCGTAGCAATCGACAAACCTCAGCAAATTCCAGTACATCTAGCCTCGGCTGTATGACGAAGTCCGCCATTGGAACTACTTTCATGTTCCCGGATTACCAACGACGTTGCCCATGACGACGCCTTTGAACAATGTTTTATCATACAAATATTTCAAAGTCTGAAGCTATTTTTCTTTCAAGTTTATCCGATTTTCTTCAAACAAGGACAACCTTGCAATGAAAATTCTACACACGCTTCGAACGACGAAATTATGATAACTTCTTTTTAAAAACAGCAAGTGTTCCTAATAAGTAAAGCGGTGCCGCATCGCAATTGTATAGGCGTAGGTACATATCACTTACCGT